GTTAGCTAGATCCTTCCCCGGGGTGCGCGAAATACACCAAAAACGCTAAGATGGCCAACAACGCCGTTTCTGTAACGGCTCCCAAGAGCGGGCCACTGTATTGGACTGTGAGGAAAGCCCGGGTAAAGAAGAACGCCCCGAGGCCCGAGACCTGCTGGTCAGAAAGCCTACGAACTCGCAGTGGGACTTCTTTAGGCAGAAAGTATTGAGTCGTCAAAACTCTTTCACGATGAAGAATCTACTTTACGTATTCATAATAGATGGGTTTGTTCTTTTTTATCGGCTCGCAACATTCCGCTGCTAGACACGAGCCTCTCCCGTTGTGTTGTTGTATGTGTGTTAATTTACAATTGTTAGGCAGGTTAATTTACAATGGTCAAACACACGAAAAAAGTTGGAATTACCGGAAAATATGGAACACAATATGGCGCCTCGTTGCGTAAAATGGTCAAAAAAATGGAACTGACACAGCATGCAAAATGCACTTGCTCTTTCTGTAGAAAGGATGCCATGAAGCGCTCTTGCGTTGATATCTGGCCCTACAAACATTGCAAGAGGACAGTGGCTGGAGGTGCCAGGATGTTCTCTACCACAGCAGCCTCACCTGTAGGTCGGCAATGAGTAGGTTACGTGAAGTCAAGTAAACAAACACATAGACTAATAACAAACATTCTTGAAACGACCAAAAATATTAAAAATTAGTAAATTAAATAAAACTCGACTAACGAATATAAGCTTTATTTAAAGAAAAATATATAAAACAATTTAATCGAAAATAAAATAATTTTAATAATCAATATTAGGTATGTTTCCAAGTTTATAATTAATAAAGGACCCATAGATATTCATAATCAATATCAATTTTAATAATAATATTAATATAAATTCTCATCGAAAATATTATCTATTGAACTTGCATGCTTTATTCAATCATAGTTAAAACGCAATCATAGGGATATTAACACAAAGGGAAGGAAAAATGTGATAAGCTACAACTTGTGCAGGTCATTTACACACTGGTAAGAACTAAGAATACAAAGATAAAAGTTTGAAATTATATAGTATATATATATGTATGATGATATATGAAATACACAATAGAAATATAATGCAATGAGATAGTCTGACTGCCAAACAAACATTTACGAACATAAAGTACAAAGGTACGCAAATGTTTGTTTTGTAAAAGAAACTTGTATGCTACAGAGATAAGGCTGAAGCAGTCACAATAACTGACGTGTGACGGCTTATCAGCACCTATCACTAGGGATGGGCCGAATTTGGATTTCACCGAATACGAATATTCGGCCGAACATTATTCGGCAGGATTAACTCGGTACCTAACCAATTTATGTCGAAACTTGTGACCGTAAAGCACGCGGGATTAGCGCCGGAGCCTTCCCCTCGCTCCCCTGCCACACCTGACATGTTATTGCATCATCTAGTACTGAGCAAATTGCCGGCACATGCTTATGTTTTGACTATCTTTGTGAGAAAAAAAGTATTCTTAGTGAAAATTGATAAGTATGTGATGAAAATGGGTGGCAGGAGATCTACTATTTGGACCAATTTCAGAGAAACTGATGACTGTAATGTAATGTTTCTTTGTTTTATTCCAAACAAAATTTTATCAAGCTTTCTATTTGCTATAATTGAAAAAAAAACTACAGTGCCTCAAAAACATATCGTTATACAAGTAGATTTAACCCATAAATAAATATACTTCCAACAGTAAAATGATGAAAGACATGATATTACTCAATTCGTACATTTCCATACAGTGGATACTTTGAGTACCACTTTAACGAATATTCGGTGATTTAGCCGAATATTCGGCCGAATACGAATATTCGGTAAACCTGCCGAATATACCGAATACCAAATATAAAACGAATATTCGGCCCATCTCTACCTATCACCTCATTTGGTTCCTTGGGCCGTAAGACGCGAGTATGGAAAGCCCCAAAAAGATTTAATAGTTTCCCATAGATATGCAACCAGCAGCCCATAGATATGTCTAAGTCATTTACGTCAACGGAAAATATCTAAACCGTCGATGAGGAAGAAGAACAAGGTCAAGTTTAGGAGAAGTCTAATACTACGATCCACGAGCACACTGACGAGAGCATTGATTAAGGCAGACCCTCCCAACTGGATAGGGCCATATCCAGGCTGGTGCTTTTATAGGCCGATAAAAAGAAGTCGTAATTGTCTTGTAATTTAGTGTCACTATGAAACGAAATTTAATTCGCCGTCTGATTTTTAGCGACAGCAGCAAAAAAAATTGAGCTGTAATACAATATCTGTAACAATAATGTGGTAGCTACATGAAACAGAGATGGCGCTGTTGCAGTAACACTGATCCGTGAGTAAGGTAATAACAGTAATAATAATGTGGTACTCGGGGGAGGGGGGCGGGGGTTAGTGTTCGGTCGATAGATAGACCGATTGGACAATGGAACAATTGGCCAAATGAAACAGCTAGTAAAGAAAGGAAAAGTGTGGTGTTTTTCACATATTTACATTCGTCAATGAAATGTGTGTAAAATATTTCACACATTTTCACATATTTTGCACACATTTCATTGACGGTGAATTACTTTTGTGATTGAGATTATTATTTAAAAAGAGAATAAGTCTGCCATACTAATACAAGTATTTCATCATTTTCATTATCATCATTACAGCCTTTCACAAGTCCACCACTGTTCGACATAGGCCTGCCACAAATCACGGTCCCGAGCCACCTGCATCCATCGATTTCCTGCATATGTAGTGTGGGGCCGATCTACATTTCGCATATCGATATAATGTTGCCACTGAGCACCTGTCAAACACGTATCACAAGTTTGAATGTTATTAAGAAACCAAATATGTCCACTGACTTGTTGAAACTGCTAATGATAATTTAACACCGTAAAGAAGCTATTGGAAAAGGAGATAAATCCAATAAGAATTTCGCATATAACACGATAAAGCCGAGATATTCTATATTTTAAAGACTGTTAGACGGATAACTACTTTTGAAACTTAAAAAGAATTCTATATCTGCTGAACCTCTTTATTTTTTTAGGTATAATAATTATTTTGCTTAATAATTATAATCTTGCTTTTGCGGCGGTTGATATTTCAGACGCTATAAAATGAGTCAAAAATTAAGTGAATTATTAAGAATATGATATTAACAAGCATCAAACAAAAAAATTAATAAAACTAACATGGCGTTTATACAAGAACCTTTTGTTATTACAATAGGCAGGCCTCGTCATATTTGTTGATTGCATTACCTTCATTTCGCCGCATATTGAAGACCACTAGTAAATTTATAAAGACTGGTAAAGTAAAAACAAAGTAAACATAATATATTGTCAGTCTTAAACTAAATATCACAAAAATTAAAATGACATTAACAACAAAATTAAAAAAGTGATTAGGTTCCTAAACATTATATTTTCTTTTTTATTTAAAGTTCATTGAATTTCAATTCATAGTCTTCAAATAGCTTATTGCAGTTAACAGTATCCACTCGCTACTACATATAAATAAGTAATTGAATATACAATTATAAAGATTATCGTTATACATATTCTTACATTTATACAACACTGAAATGTAAATATTGTTCATTTAATTTTGAATTAACCTTTTTTCAGTCTGTTTATTATTAATTAAATCCGTATAATATAATTTTTGATTTTCAAACCATACATCTTTCAAAGAGTACATATTTATAATAACAACATAATATTATAAGCAACGGCGCAACCCTATCGCATTTTTTAAATTTGTAAGTTAAAAAGCATTACTACCATAATATCTACTGTCTATAAGTTTTAGTAAAGAAACGCAGCAGTATTTTATTATATACAAGATTAACACGTATACATCTAGCCAAGTAATATTTATAACTTTCTTGAGATCTAACTTTAATAGTACTAAGGCAAAAATGTGTTACAAATCAAATTGTATAGTAAAGAATAATAGTAAAATGAATATGTCACTTTTTATTTACAATGGTAACAGATTAAACTAAAGTAAAATGTTCGAATTAGTATTTAATAAAGACAAAACGATTATATATAAAAAAGTAAATAAGTGTTACGGTATAGTCGACCTGAAAAGATATACGTCGCCTATTTTTCGTTTTTTTTTTTCGTTTTTTTTTTATATATATTTCATAAAATTGAAGTGACAAACGAACTAAAAGTCTACCTGATGGTAAGTGACCACTGCAGCCTACAGACACCTGCATACAATTCCAAACAAAGAACGCTGCAGAAGCGTTGTCACCTGAGGGCCAAGATGGAATGCTTCGCAGCTTGTGATTGCACAGGCTCTCTCTTCACACCGAAACACAACAGTACATGCACTTCTTTTTGGCAGCAGCATAAGGTAAAAGGGGTAATTACCCAGACGGACGCCTAGGCAAAAAAAGTTCTACTACCTAGATACGTATAAAAGAAAGTTCTAGTACCTAGATACGTACAAATGCTTCTCCTAGACACAAATGTAGTCCTACTCTTACCACCTAGACAATATTATTATAACAAATTAGTAAAACATTCGAAACTAATTTTATATATAATATGTATTTAAAACACATTCAATAAAATAAAACATTTATTGTTTACGTTCATGTTACCAATGTCAAACTCATTATTGTATATATAATATAATATATAGTTTGTGGTCAAACAGTCTCACAAGACCATATTATTATAACAAATTAGTAAAACATTAAAAAAAATTACTGCTTATAATAAGGATTTATTAATAAGAATATTGCCAATTCAAAATAGAGGCCCTGATGTTTTTTTTAACTTAATATATTATGTCAAAAAATCAATGAAGCGCCACTAATTCCATCACCAAACACTATTTCAATATCTCCGCAAACGTTGCAATGTTTTCAGATCGCGTTCATTAATCCTTACTAAATATCTTCCCTCTTTCAGTTCAACCATCCTCAATACCGTTACGTTGGGCACGTCTGCACCTGGTCATCCATCATGTGCACAAACCAAACATATGTACGCGAGCGCCATGGCAGAATTCTGTCTAACTAGCGGGTTTGAATCTTTTATTAGCAGCAATAAGCGAGTGCGCGCACTCTTCGTTATGTCCGGGTCTAAATCTGTGTCTGCGGAAGTCTTCTCTTTGAGGCGATAGAGTTCTGCGTAGAGAAGCCCTGGAAATGCCGAAGTTCAAATTCACACATTACGTCAAAAACCTTTTTGAATACACTAGTTAGCCGGTAGGTTTTACTTAGAAGATCTGTCCATACTAACCAGTGATATGGGCGATTTTTTTCAGGGGTAGTCCAAGAGAACACAGACCTTACTCTGATGATTTCATTGCTAAACTCTGATTTTTCATTCCGTAGAATTCTGACATTTCGTAAGTGTTGCTACTAAAAAAGTTCTCCACCGAAAAAGAGACAAATTTGAACCATTTGAGGGCAATAAATAATAAAATGCTACGTATTTTTTATGTTTCACCTACAAAAAGGTAAATCTAAATATTTACTTATACAAGTCACCTAATACAAAAATAACAAATATTTCAATATCACGAACAATATATCTAATTAACTTTAATTACTTAATATTTTATTCTTTAGCTGGCATCACTGTCTACTAATTCCAGGTTTAAAAAACCTTTTAAAAAAATGTTAGCTGTCACGTCGCGTCTGTCACATTGATTGATTTTCATTCGACTTCTTTGAATGCTCGAATGCGCATGTGTTCTCGGTGTTTGCTGCTATTTGTTGTTATTATCTTGTTATATTTGTTAAGTTTCTGTTATTCTGTTAAGTTTTTTCTTGTTGACCTTTCGTTTTGTGATCGTTTGTTGATTTTTATAAACGTTATGGAGCCACAACCTGGCCCTTCCCGGGAAGCAGCCCCATCTGACAGAGCACAAGGCTTAGACTTTCTTTCTCCCAGAAAGAAGCGTCCTCGTGGTGCTTTTACGCCCAACGAAAAGACCATAATTCTAAATATTTACAAATATAATATAGAAAATTGGCCGCAAACAACTGATTGGAGTGCAACGGAATGTGCTAAAAAGACTTCTGAGATGACTGGCGTGGGTCTGTCAAGTGTCTATAAAATTACCAAAGAATATAAAGACACAAAAGAATTTCAAAAGCCGAAAAAGAGTGGACCTCAACTATCTTTCATACAAAAATTTGACGAATTCACTTTCGCCGCAACTCGACGAAAGGTTCACGCGTTTTTCTACAGGAACGAGATTCCGACTATTGAAAAGGTAAAGTTATTGCTAATTCTTTAACACCTCGTTGCTGACATCCCCCATTGTTTTAAAACTATACTTTAACCTGTGTTGCCTGTCTACATTTTAACTGTAATGTAAATGCTTATTTCAGATTCACCAAGAGATAACTGGTGATCCAGACATGCCTGTTATGTCGAAATCAACATTAAGAAAAGTATTGAAGCATTTAAATTTTAAATACACAAGTCGCAAACGTCGAAGTGCGCTAACAGATCGCAAGGAGATAGTACTATGGCGTCAAAAATACTTGCACCAAATTAAACAATATAGAAGAGAAGGCAGGCTTATATATTACCAGGATGAAACGTGGGTAAACGAAGGCAAGTATTGAATTATGTGGTAATTAACTTTTTATAACCTATCTTTTCTTCAAAGTATTAGTCGGAAATCGAATTCTGTACTTATGTAATACTTAAATTAACTTTGTTAATAAATTTTTGTTACCAAAATGAATAAATAAATAAAGAAATCCATGTTTACAGGTAATATTTTTCAATTTATATGCATATATAACTGTCCTCATGTATAAGTGAAATATTAAATATATTTTTATTTTCAGGACATACCGTCAATAAAGTGTGGTGTGATACCAACATTCAATCTTCACGACAAGCTTTCCTCGATGGCTTGACAACAGGGCTTAAGGCACCAACAGGCAAAGGGGGGGCGACTTATAGTTAGCCATATAGGGAGCGAAGAAGGATTTTTGGAAGATGGTTTATTAGTTTTTGAGGCAAAAAAAGGCTTGGCAGATTACCACAAGGAGATGACTGGGGAAGTATTTGAGGAGTGGTTCACAAAAATACTTCCAAAATTAAAACCAAACTCGGTAGTAGTGTTGGATAATGCTCCCTATCATTCGAGGAAGGTCGAAAAAGTACCAACGAGTGCATGGAGAAAAGGCGATATCCAAGCGTGGTTGACTTCAAAAAATTTAAATTTTGAAGAAAAAATGCTAAAAGTTAATTTATTGGAAATTGTGGGTCAGGAGAAATACAAATATCAACAGTGTATTGTAGACGAGATGGCCACAGCACAAGGCATTACTGTGCTTAGACTGCCCCCATATCATTGTGAGCTCAACCCTATTGAATTGGTGTGGGCTCAAGTGAAGGGGCATGTCGCAAGACACAACAGAAGTTTTAAAATGGCGGAAGTTAAAAAACTATTACTGGAAAGTATAAGTAGTATTACTCCTGATAAATGGCAAGAATGTATCAGCCATACAATCAAAGAAGAAGATAAGATGTGCACTCTCGACGATTTCATTGACACAGTCGCAGACTCTTTAATAATTCATGTCAGCGATGATGACGATGATGAAGATAGTGATATAAGTATTAATGATGACTAAAGATTTTAATAAAAATATGTTATTTTTACTTGTGCATTTTTTACTGTTTGTAATGAAAAGGGACGTAATTATCACTCGCCGTAAAACCATGTAGAGTACCGCACTTAATAAAATGGATACATTTACTAACAAATAAAATGTATGTATAGACTCAGATGTTCAGACACGTATTGAAATTGAAAAATGTGCCCGGCCAAAAAGGTTTGTAATCTCTGACATGTCAAAAAATGATAGCTGTCAGAATTCTACGGAATGAAAAATCAGAGTTTAGATATTGTTGGATATTAGCGGGAAATCAATTGGGAGACATACAGTATTCAGGCGATGATGCACAAAATGACCTTATGTGATTTACTAGATGACAGAGTCTAGATGAGTAAAGTACTTGCCTTTTGACTTGAAATCTGAATAGGCCATTAGCTAATAATAGAGTCGATGATAATTTACGTGGGTAGTTTTAAATTTAATATTTTAGTTTTAATCAGAAATAAATATCTTATATCTCGAAGACTCAAATGATGAAGAAAAAGAAGAAAGACGGAGCTATGCATACATTTTAAGTGATGCAAAAACCATGACATAGTCTTGTGCAGTTCGCGCACGATGTACTAATAGAAAACGTATTTTAGCACTGTTTCAGAAACATAAACTTTTTAGTCAATAGAAGATTATAAATGATACTTATTGAAAGTCACTCTTAATTTAATACTGATTCGGAAAAAAAAATTACAGAATAAATATCACTTATTTTTGGAAAACTACTTTTATTATTGTGTACGTACTTACATTTTATAAATGTATCGAGAGGCCAAAGTTAATATGTATAATTTCTTAAACTTTTACATGAGCGACTCTTTTAGGTTTTAAATCATAGATTTCTCTAATGGCCCTCTTCTGTAAAACAAATACAATTTCAGTGTCAGTCGCGTGTCCATTCGCAGAATACCATACAACATTATGCTATAAAAATAGCTAAAGTAAACAAGGTCTAGCTGTTTCAACAATGGTAAGATTTCTAATCTTTTTTACAGCATATGTTGCACAAAAGTCTGCTTGCTAGTTTCAAGAGAGCTAAGAACTAGTTGCAACAGAGCAGAGGTCGTTCATTAAAATGGCTGAGCAAGCACATATTTGTTTTTTCTTTCATAGCTCGTAAAAGTTCACTGCTGATCCCATATGTTAGATTATTATAGACAATAAGGTAGGTAGATAATATAATAACTGATTTGTAAGGTAGTTGATATGTTACAGTAAAAACTCTTAACTGGTCAAAACCACTTTTGACTGTAAAAATCAGGCAAAAGTAGTTTTGACTAAAGACGTTGGTCAAAACCACTTTTAACTGCATAAATATTGGGTAATGGTGATTTTGACCAAATATTAAAAGTAGTTCGAATAACAATATAAACCAAATCTACTTTTGACTAATACTTTTTGAAATTAAAGTCAATTCTAAAATTTTATTTTATATCACTATAATGTACGCGGCTACAGGGTGGCCCGAAGGCTATCCTAGCCGCACCTTAACCTACTGCCACCGAGTTTTAATCAGGCAAAACCATTTATGACTAAAACATTAGTGAAAACTGTTTTTGGCTAAGGGCCTCTGTCAAAACCATTTTTGCCTGATTATCGCAGTCAAAAGTAGTTTTGACCGGTTATGAGTTTCGACTGTAACACATCAACTACCTTACAAACGGTTATTAAATTACCTACCCACATTATGGTCTATAATCAATAAAGTCAACCACTTACCATCAAATGGACTGTGTGCTTGTTTGTCACCCTATCCTACAAAAAATCCTCAGAAACTAGTTATTAAATTACCTACTCATATTAATATCTATAATCATCCAATACACACTTACGCCCCTAAAAACATTTTTGTTTCGTTCTTACACGAGGTTGATCATGGTTTTGGCTTCGTTTTTGCATCACGCAGTGTTCCATCTTTCTTTCTTTTTTGGCCTAAATTCGAAGGTATATATAAATTAGCTGTAACTAACCGAGCAACAAAGGCGGATGCGGCTTCATGTCCTCGCGTGCGCAGTGCAGGTAGTTGACGGCGGCCTGCAGGCACGAGGGCACCGAGGCCGGCATCTCGTCGGCCAGCAGCCGCAGCAGCGCGCACAAGAACTCGTCCAGGAACAGCCGGCCCTCGTCCACCAGGTGCATCTGCACGAACTCGTTCGACTTCTTCGCCGGGAATGTCTTGAACACCTCGCGGAGAGTGAACTTGCTTGCCTGAAACGAAGAATTACTTTGCTATACAGGATGGCGACATAAAATAATTTTTTTTTCTCACACTAAAAATCAGTTAAAATACATTTACTAGTTTAGTCATAATCATTACTGCCCTTCACTACGCTACTACTGAACATAGGCCTCCCCCATAAAATGCCACGACAATGCCTCCAACGACTTCATGCTCTCTTACCAAATCGTCACTTCATCTTGTGAAGTGGCCCCCCGCCCAACACTTCGCTTACCGATACGAGGCTACCACTAGAGTGCCTTCCTACCCCGTCTGCTGTCGATTCTTCAAGCTATATAGCCGCCCAAGTAGCATACAAGCAATATAAGCGGACACTGTATCACTCTCTTGCTGCATAGCGGCTGTTAAGGAAATTTTTATCTTTCTTTACCTGTGTAAAACAGTTTCTTATATCTATTTTAAAGCAAAGTAATAAAGTAGCCGTTAAGGAGTGACTATAATGGCTTTGGCGATAAAAGGTGGTTTGCAGAGCGTTTGTGAAGGCGTTGGATGTATCGCCGAGTTATAAATATTATACTTATTAACACTATAAGATTTAAAAGAGGAATAACGAAGACAAAAGCGCTTGAGTTATAAATATTGTACATTGCACTCAAGATTATATTAAGTAGTACTATATAGTCTACAGCTTTACAATAGATCCTTAAAAAACACTTTTACCGTATTGTAGAAATATAGCTCGATAGAAGCACCAAAGGCAGTGTATTTGCCAAATATAACGTGAAAATATAACCACTGTCTGCATTAGACATACTAAATATGTTTTATACGGGTATAATGGACCCGACACACAGTCAGTTAAAGTCATCAGTTAAACTGATATCAGTTCGAACGGAATTAAGCCAAAGAAATTTCCACACACACGGTCAGTTCCACTGATCATTCCATCTGATCAGTTTAAACTAGAACTATGATATTTTTTTAAATATCGTATTATTGATATATCGATAATTATAAATATATCAATATTGGAGTTTTATATATCGTTAGTCAATATCGGAGTTTTATGTATCGAAAAAAATATCAATATATCGGCTTTATTTAAAAATAAACAATCGTAAGTCATTTAGTTTAGTTCATTTTTATATTTATTAAGCAAATTAAATTATAAATGTATGAAAATGTTAGATTATAGTTCGTATTAATTATTGTTTAATATAAATAAGATGATTATGTGTACCAATTTTTTTCAGTAAGTTTTCAAAAATACTCATTGTTTTATATGTTCAGCTGTTTAAATATGTTTAGAAGACAGATCTTAGCTCGTTAAGCAACCTTGAGCTTCCGCGTATGGCCAGCACTGAAGAACGTCTCGGATCCATATGTCGTCACTGGCAACACGTACTGTCTGGTTGTACAATCTTGTTCTGATGTTTTAAGGTATACATGACAAAAAAAATGGTATATAAATTACGTTTTCACTAGAGAAAAGTCGACAGGATTAATAAATTATGTCTACACAATAAAGTAGGCGACGTGGCTGCCTTAAAACTAAGAAAATTACGTTATACATGTTGTTTTAATTTGTTCAAAATAAAGTTACAGCCTATATACGTCCCACACCTTGGCACACGCCTCTTCTCATTTCTGAAAGGGTTTAACGGACTTCAAATGTCTTCGAAATTTTCTTTAATTTCTTAGATAGGTTTTATCACGATATTTTATTTCACCTCGGGTCCGTAATAAATTAAAATATAAAATTTGAAAAATTTGCTTTGTTAATTTACATATTGGAATGTAATTTGATTATGTTTAAGTGACAAACAAGCCCAGACCCTTGGAGACCTGTCACCCACTTCAAATAAGGAAGGTCCCAGACGTGTTGTGACTGACTGAGGACTAAATTAAATGCTTCACCCAGCGTGCAACGAAGACAATGAAGATGAAAGGCCACCCCCCCTACTTTTCGTCACATAACCTAACAAAATAAATTGATTCAACTCACCCGCACAACCGCCGGATTGCTATCACACAAATGCAGCAGGAAGCAAGGCAGCGACCCGACAGCCTGGTCCACCAGAGCTTCCGAGGATACTTTGCCCGCGATGATACCGAACAGCCGTATGGAGCTCTCCCTTAGCTGCGAGCAGTCCGTGTTCATGAACGGACGTATCTTTTGCGATATCGAGAGCAGTTCTCTATCGAACTCTTTATCCAGATGTTCTATTTCCAATAGTAGCTGACTGAGACCTTGTATGGCTGCTAGAGGCACGTTTTCAAGTGGCGACCTAAAGTTTCAGGTAAAGTTTAAAAATTTTACAAAAATATTAACAGTTACAACTATTAACTGATTATTAACAGTAAGGGAACTCTAAATATGAGGTTAAAACTATTATTGGTCAAGTAGTCGTAAACACTATCATCAATCAAGAGGTCTCGAGTTCGAATCCCGGGTTGGGTAAACAAAAATTAGTTATTAAGTTTTTCTGTCAAGAAATTGTCGGCGGTTGCTGGCGTTGTTTTATTTCGGAACCTCGAAAAGCTCGTAAAGTCATCTCTGGGCTGGGGTTCCCCAGTGCCAACTTCCATTTGATCGTATCCAGTACGTCCCTCTATAGAGTACGTATCCTCTACGACAAAATCTTGCTGCTTGTAGCTGGAGTGAGAAGAAGGTGAAGGAAGAGTGCAAGATCGAAGAGGAAGCAGGCGCACCACTGTTGTACTTCAGTGTTTGGCAGCATTAAGGGACGTGCTGGTGGGGCACAATCGCCTCTACATTGGCTGGGACGTGGTGGAGCCCTGTGACTACGTAGATGTCACGTGCTGCCAGAGGTGCCAGCAATACGGGCATCCATCGAAATACTGCAGGTCTAAGGAAATTGTGTGTGGCAAGTGTGGGGAGACGGGACACGAGCGTGGGACCTGTCAAGCAAAGGAAGAAAAGTGCGCTACCTGCAAGAGATTTGGCCGGCCTGACTCTGGTACGCACGTGACCATGGCGAGGAACTGTCCAGCAAGACTGTATGCAGAGCAACGCTCCGTGGCCACCACGCAATACTGCCGATAAGGGCATGTCCACGGATACACGAGATCGAATCATTAAAATGGGGCAGATCAACTTGGGTCGGGGGAGCTAGCCACGGCTGAGTTGCCTATTCTGGCGCGTGAACTGCACCTGGACATTGTTCTTATACAAGAACAGTACTCCCAGGCTGCAGGAATCGTCCAGGTGGGTGGTCACCCGTGGGCTGGCATCTATCTTGCCGACCCAACTATTGGAGTAGCTCTGCTGAGCCACCTCAGCAACGAGTTCTGTGTGGTGTGCCACGTAAACCGATGGGACCTCTATGTGGTGTCAGCGTACTTTAAATACAGTGACACCATTGATGACCACCTGCACCACTTGGAGGTCACCCTGAGTTGCCTAAAGGGCAGAAGGGTCATCGTCGGCCTCGACGCAAATGCGCACTCGCCACTCTGGCACTGCGATCGCCGACACTACGTGGGACGAGGACATACTGCAGAACACCGGAGGCAGCAAGTGGAGGCGTTCATACTTTCGCAGGCACTAAGGTTGGCGAACCAGCCTGACCAGCCCTATACCTTCTCTGGGCCAGGTGGAGAATCTAATGTGGACCTCACATTATCGGCTGGGGACATATACCTTGCTGAGTGGCGAGTGCATGAGGGAATCTGCGCCAGCGATCATAATTTAATAACATACACGGCCACTACCAGCAGGCCGACTACTTGCGCTGCACCCGTCAGGGATCCCCCGCGTTTTCGTGACCGGGGGGTGGATTGGGACAGGTTCCGGGCGATCATAAAATTAAGAATGGGATGGTTGCATGTGGACAAACCCGCGGCCCTCCTGGCGGAGGAGTTCTCAGGGGTCATCATCCGCTCCGCGGAGGAAGGCCTAGGGGAGCGTCGCCCTAGGGGTTCTGCGGGGTATGAATGGTGGAATTCTGAACTGGATAAAACTCGGAAGCTGCAATGCAAGCTCAGGCGTGTATGACAGAGTAAAAGGCGTCTAGGAGGTAGATCAGAGGAGATAGCCAGAACGGCTTTTCATAGCGTGCGTGCGAGATATAGAAAGATGATGGTGGAGGTGCAGCAGTCGCATCACACGAGGGTCGCCAATACTGGCAATGAGGACCCTTGGGGCCTGGCATACAGGTTGGCCAGCGGGAGGGTGCGTCCGCCTGCGAATGTGATCAATGGGATTGCATTCGCGGGTGGGCACCCAGATAGTCTGGGAGCTGCCATGAACAGCTTGATGACTGCGCTCTGTCCGGATGACGACCCTGGCCTTGACAAGCCTTACCACCGGCAGGTTCGAATGCTGGCCGCGTTTATGCCGTCTGGTGGAGCTGCACCTCCACTTGCGGTTGAGGACCTGGGTGGCATAGTCAGGGCCTTGCCCAACACGGCTCCGGGTCTCGATGGAGTGAGTGCGAGAATCATTAGGAATGTTTGGATGGCTGCACCGAGTGAATTCCACTCGGTGTATGCCAAGTGTGTAATAGAGGGAGTTTTCCCTCAGGTATGGAAGGACGGTAGATTGATTGTCATTCCCAAGGGTAATGACAAGCCACTCACTGACGCCAAGGCGTATCGTCCCATAACGCTCCTGCCTGTTTTGGGTAAGTTACTTGAACGCATAATCCTAAGGTGTGCCCCTGTGATTAGTCACGGGATATCCGAGCACCAGCACGGATTTTCTCCGGGGCGATCTACGGTAACAGCGCTGCGAGTATTGCTCAGCACGGCAAAGTATTCTCGGGCATGCTACGTGCAAGCTATCTTTTTGGATATTTCTGGTGCCTTCGACAATGCCTGGTGGCCGATGATGATGGTCAAAGCTAAGAGGGGTGGATGTCCACCTAACATTTATAAAATGTTGGTGGACTACTTCACCTCCAGGCGTGTGGGCCTCTACATCGGGGACCGGGTAGAGTGGAAGACTTCGACCATGGGATGTCCTCAAGGCTCCGTGCTGGGCCCAACACTGTGGAACGTGCTGATGGACGATTTGCTTCGACTCCCTCTGCCTGAGGGAGTTGCCATGACTGCCTATGCCGATGATGTCACAATCTTGGTTGAATCGGAAACGAGAGCAGGTATTGAATCCAGGGCCCGGGTCACTCTGGACCTTGTACGGGAATGGGGGCTAAGGAATCGACTGAAGTTCTCCTCCTCAAAGTCTACCACCATGACTGTTAGAGGGAAACTTCAGCGCCCCCCCCCCGTTATTAAACTTGGTGGGGAATCAATCAAGTCTGTGACTACCGCTAAGGTGCTAGGCGTGGTTTTGGACTCAGGACTATCATTTGTGCAACACGCTTCTGATATCTCTGAAAGAGCGACTAAGGGATTTGGCAAAATGACTCGCGTATCGACATCGTCATGGGGTATGCGATACCCGAGTTTAAAAATTATTTACAGAGGAGTGTTTGTGTCCACGCTCACGTATGCAGCAGAGTGCTGGTACGAGCGGGCGAACATGTACACAGTCCGTAGCGTACTACTGAGATCGCAACGATCTGCACTTGTCTTGCTGACCAAGGCATACAGGTCCACTAGCACGGCGGCCTTACCGGTGCTGGCTGGCGTCCTCCCTGCTGACCTGGAGGTCATTCGTGCTGGTAGGATGGGTTTGGAACGCTTGACCGCGCCCAGAGAGGAGTTGAGCAGACGAAAGCGCGATATCTGGACTGAGGTGATTGGCGTATGGCAGAATCGATGGAAAAACGAAACGAAAGGACGTGAGTTATATCGATTTTTCCCGGAGGTGGCGGTGAGACTCAGGTATACCTGGGTCTCACCGGACTATCAAACATCCCAGATTCTCACTGGACATGGATGTTTTCGGAAGAGACTGCATGACATGCGACTGTGTGAAACCAGTATGTGTGAGTGTGGTACGGCAGAGGAGGATGTTCACCATGTCCTATGGGAATGTCCTCTGTATGACGATCTAAGAGCGAAAGTGTTGGATGGGCTGGTTCGAACGGTTCAGGGACCGATTTACTACTCGGATCTCGTCAGCGATGGGGTGAACTACGGGCTGTTGCGTGAGTTTGCGCATAGGTGGCACGATCGCAGGAGAAGGCAGGAAAGGATGCTGGTAGGAAGGCCCGACGACGTAGGCGTTGTTGTGCCGTCAGCCCCAGAAGGGGGAGAATGACGTTAAACTGGGACAAGGAACAGAATAAATATTTGTAGGGAGTCAAGAAAGTGCGCGCGGGAAAGAGCAAGGTGCAAGTACCGCGCGCATCTCCCGAGATTAGGCCCGTATGACCTGAGGGTCGGTGGGGCCATGGGAGGTGGTGGGTTGATCGTATCCAGTGCAGAGCCGTTCAAATCGTCGGGGATCGAGCTCTTTCCGTTCTCTCTTTCGTTTATTTAGTAGAAATAATGCAAAAGCTACTATGAATCAACAAACAGACGAGTCTTTCAGTCGAAAATTTTAAAAGTGTGATTCTCTTCAATCATTTTTATTCATTTTTTTTAATTTAATTCTAAAGAAATAAACGTAAAAGTAAAAATTGTTTTATTAGTACATCTAGATGAGATGAGATGCATCTGTCTTAGCTGCTATGTGGAAAATCTATCTGTTTTAGTTGGTGTGTGGTGTGGTGTGAGTGTGACGAGCGTTTGTATCGGCAGTCCGTGTACTGAAAGTGCAGTCTGCACATCGACATCCTGGCTAAGCGCGGGCGTGAGCGCTACGTGTACTTGCCTGTTCCTCTCCTGTTCTAGTTGATGTGTGGTATGCGTGTGAGGAATGTTCGTGTCCGCAGTGTGTACTGACCGTGCGGGTCGCGCGTCGACACCCTGGCTGAGCGCAGCGAGCGCGGCGGGCAGCGCCAGGGCGCGCGGCGCGGGCGGCAGGGCGGCCACGCCCGCCGCGCCGCGCAGCGCGGACGCGCGCACGCGCTCCGACGCGTCCTTCCAGCCGCCGCTCAGCGTCGCCAGGATCGTCTCCACCACCACGCCGCCCGCGTCGCCCGCACCACCCGCCTCGCACCTGCCCGCGACATAACCACACTATTACTCCTCCACGAACAACTAAATTCAATTATTTAAGATAGCTCAAAAACTACTAGTCATAGTAATATTATAATTTATATGGGACCACACGAGAAGCAATAACTTTCAGATAAAAATAATCATCAACATTGGTTCACCCAGAGAAAAGTTATGAGGTACACATTAAAAAAACATAGTCGAATTGAATACCTCCTCCTTTTTGATGTCGGTAAAAAGTAGCCTAAGTTATTCTTTATAATATCAGCATCAAAAATTGTATTTTTGTTATATAATTTCATATGCATAAAGTAAAAAGCTATTATTTTAACAATACATATAACTAACAGTACAGCAGCGCGCTGTAAGTGTTGTACGTACCGGTAGTGTAGCAGCGCGGCGAGCAGCACGACGGTAGTCCAGCGCTGCGGCGCGCGGGCGCGGAGCGCCAGGAACACCACCGCAGCCCGCCAGGCGCGGCGCCGCGATCGCTATACTTGCTGCACGTGCTGTACGTACCGGTAGTGTAGCAGCGGCGAGCAGCACGACGGTAGTGCAGCGCTGCGGCGGCAGCGGCGCGCGGGCGCGGAGCGCCAGGCACGCCACGCAGCCCGCCAGGCGCGGTGCCGCGAGCGCTATACTTGTTGCACGTGCTGTACGTACCGGTAGTGTATCAGCGCGGCGAGCAGCACGACGGTAGTGCAGCGCGGCGGCGGCAGCGGCGCGCGGGCGCGGAGCGCCAGGCACGCCACGCAGCCCGCCAGGCGCGGTGCCGCGAGCGCTATACTTGTTGCACGTGCTGTACGTACCGGTAGTGTAGCAGCGGCGAGCAGCACGACGGTAGTGCAGCGCTGCGGCGGCAGCGGCGCGCGGGCGCGGAGCGCCAGGCACGCCACGCAGCCCGCCAGGCGCGGTGCCGCGAGCGCTATACTTGTTGCACGTGCTGTACGTACCGGTAGTGTAGCCGCGCGGCGAGCAGCACGACGGTAGTGCAGCGCTGCGGCGGCAGCGGCGCGCGGGAGCGGAGCGCCAGGCACGCCACGCAGCCCGCCAGGCGCGGCGCCGCGAGCGCTATTGTTTAGGCCTAATTTCAACGTTTTGCAACCTGCGTCGGCGCGCGTTTTCGATCGGGAAACCGGCCTGACGGCGGAGCCGGGGGGGGTGCGGACAGGTGCGGCAGACGGCCGCGCCGGCGAGTATCGTCCTTCTTGGTTAGCTAGCAGTGGAGCTGTGTAGTTGCGCGTTTGTTAATATAATTGCCGCCTCGCAGCCCAGACGATTATACTTCGCGAACCTTACGGTTTTCATAGTTTGTTTGCGTTCTTGGAAACGAAATTTAAATTATAATTATAAAATCACATTTGAGTATTGATTGCGACTGGCATACGGTGCGCTCGGTTAGTGTTTCGTTAAGGCGTGATAAGACTCCTGTTGTTGTGTGAAGCGTTAGATTTGTTTTACGATATCGAGAACGTCTGGGGGAGCGGTCATCGTGTTGCAGCTGTCTACTACTGGTGACGTCAGGTTACATTTTACACCTCACACACCACACAATAACAAACATTTACTAGCCCCTGACGCCACCTCGTGGCAGATCCTACACGTCTGGAAGCCGGTAAGTTTTATATTTGTACTCCTAACCGATAAAGTTTAATTAGCCATAAGCCATTTTGGGCTCGACCTTTTGTTACCCGTCTATTTGGACTACTTCGGGCCCTGGTTTAAAGACTTTCGTCAGAGTAACTCCAGGCCGTAACAGCTATACTTGCTGCACGTGCTGTACGTACCGGTAGTGTAGCAGCGCGGCGAGTAGCATGACGGTAGTGCAGCGCTGCGGCGGCAGCGGCGCGCGGGCGCGGAGCGCCTGGCACGCCACGCAGCCCGCCAGACGCGGCGCCGCGAGCGCTATACTTGCTACACGTGCTGTACGTACCGGTAGTGTAGCAGCGCGAGGAGCAGCACGGCGGTAGTGCAGCGCTGCGGCGGCAGCGGCGCGCGGGCGCGGAGCGCCAGGCACGCCACGCAGCCCGCCAGGCGCGGCTCCGCGAGCGCTATACTTGCTGCACGTGCTGTACGTACCGGTAGTGTAGCAGCGCGGCGAGCAGCGAGACGGCAGCGCAGCGCTGCGGAGGCAGCGGCGCGCGGGCGAAGCGCGCCAGGCGCGCCACGCAGCCCGACAGGCGCGGCGCCTGGCTGCGGGCGAGCGCGCCGCCCAGCAGCGCCGCCAGCTCGCTCAGCGTGCCGCCGCCCTCGCCGTGCTCCACGGACAGGCACAGTGAGCACGCCTCCCTCACCTGCCGTACATTCATAGTGGATTTAGCTAGTGGTCACACTATCCTAAACGCCTTTAATTCGGCAGGTTGGGGGTAAATTGGAGACACCCGTGCAAGCCGTAGCGGCCGAGACTGGTCGCCGAAGGCGACCAATAAGCCAAAGCTGCGGAGTTGAGCATACGGCGGGCGGAAGCTGCTCTCCCTCCGCGCCTACGGCTTTACAAAACCACACTAGAGGTAGGGCAGACAAGACTACGTGGAGTCGGGGCGTGCTGATTCGGTTTTAGAACAGATTCGACCAATTTTATCTATGTCAGGTTGCCGTAAACTCTGCTTTGATAGTGATAAATGAAATAATGTAATGTGAATTATTGTTATAATTTTGTTTCCTGAAAAACATCTTGGCTGCTCTCCACTACGACTCAATTTGTTGTATATGAGTTCCTTCTTCAGCCACAAATTGATTGTCATGGTATGAGTGATTGACTTTTTTATGGGTGTATTATTTGCGTTTCGTTATATTCAATTTTTAGTGAAATATATTTTTATCGTAATTAATTCAAAAAGCATATTTCCGAAATTCAAAAACAGTGTAAAAGGTTCAGGATTAACCCTGACAAAAGTCCTAAATTGAAAATAAATTTAAAAAATTAAGTACCAGACGTCTACTTCATAATACTGTTACGAGCTTGGGGTTCGTAACAGCAGATTGAATTACCAAAATTGACACTTTAATTACCAAACACCAATCATAACTTAAAACACACTAATAATAAAGACAACTGTACTACTAATCACTTTAATTTGCAGTTATATCACTTCGAAGTATTCGCTTAAATTGCCAATTCAATACTGACTCGGTCGAGGTCCTAAACGGCCTTATATAGGGCCTCTACTATTAAAATATCTAGAAATAATCGAGTACATACCGGTCTCGAAAGGTTAGATGTAGAAAGTTCTAGTATGGAATTTTCTAGAAAGATCTTGACGCTCCTATTTCTGCTACTCGAAACTAGTGGTAACCCATCATGTACCAGGAATTTATTATGGAGCGCAACAATACTAAACTAAATTAACATTTTGCGTTTCGTTATAACCAATTTTTAATGAAATTTATTTTTATCGTAATTAATTCAAAACGCATTTCATCTAAAACAGTGTAATAAACCAATTTTTTTAATTAATTGGTTTCTTATAAAATATGACAGTAGCGAAATGCATAAGAAAAACACAAAATTATATACATCGGAAAATATCCTCAAAATTATTAATTACTAACAATATTCAGCATAAATTAGTTACACCATAGGAAACTAATTCTACACAAATTTGTTAAAACCAAAAACAGAAGAAGAAAAATTATTAAATGAAGATAACGATACATGAATTATACTTTATGAATTCGCTAGAAGACAATAGAATGACTACCTTTTGACAATCCGACCGTTCCAAAAAAGCATTAAAGGTGATGACAGTGATCTTAGCCGGAGATAGTTTGATTGCCTCTCTGTTAGGTATAAAGCCAATCCTCTCCTGGCCTTTGTTTGGGGGCACAGTGTACGCCGGAGCCTCGGCCTCTAAATAACATGCCAACGTCGTGTAGAGCACTGAGAACAGGTCCGAGAACTTGGCGATACAGATTGGTTTTATCGCGTCCACTTGAAGCATTTCACCCAGTGCACTAATTAGCTGAAACCAAATATATTTATGTGAATGTGAGTACAGTGAGACTTTGAGGTAGATTAAAAGATGATTGATATTGTTTTATAACTCACTGTCAGCGGCTGCAGTGCTGCAATGTGATTTTCAGTGATGTGATAAGGATCTTCGTACAATTCAATCGAGGTCATCAAACGCAGGAAGTTATCTATGATCGCCTCTGCTAAAGTTACGTCCTTTGCCAAATTTCGCCAGCAAGATACGACGCATCTGATAAGAACGAAATTGGAAACTTAACGTTATAATTAGGTTTCTACTGTTTTTTACATATTTTAAATATGGTTAAATAAACAAATAAAATAACTAGTAAAATAATTTTTTTTAATAAAAATTATTTATTAACAATACATATTATAAACACACAAATAAAATCATACACTTATTAATAAATACAGCAGTTGTTTAGCAATGGTTGACGTTAAATGAAAGTTTTGGCCTATTTATTTCCCTCCTCTGAGCACAGGTCTACTCTCATAACTGAGAAGGTTATGAAGCGTTTTGTCAGTCACGCTGCTCAAGTGCGTATAGACGACCTTCATATGTCTTCGAGTTACTTTTATTTGTCAGGCATGCAGGTTCGTCGTGTAGTGGCGGTTGAGAATATCCACTACCCCATATCTTTCCGTGGGTGTCGTAAGAGGCGACAGAGGGAGACGGGAGATGGGCAGCAGCATCTTCCTAATAACAACAATAACATAATAAAAAACTGCGGTTGCCAACCCGCTCGCCAAGCGTGGCAACTATGGCAAATATCCCCCCATGAGCAACGACGCAAATAAACGGCCCCCAGTCCCCGGCGGCCCCGCTATTCCTGGCTACGGTGGCGACCATGGTAACGGCGGGGCAGGGGGTGCTAAGAATCTCCAGTGGAGGTTCGGTTGCCACCTACGACGACTCGACCTGGCAACGTATAACGCACGCACCCTGAGGACTGACGAGTAGATACTGGAGCTGGAAGAAGAGGTAGACAAGCTGCGCTGGGATATTATTGGATTATCTGAGGTCCGAAAAGAAAGGGGGAGGACACGGTAATCCTCGAGTCCGGCAACTTGTTCTATCACCGGGAGGGCGACCATCTGTCCCAAGGAGGTGTCGGATTTATCGTCCACAAGTCTCCAGTCAACAACGTTGTAAAAATTGGGAGTCTGTCGACGAGGGTTGCGTACCTGATACTCAGAATCACCAAACGGTATTCGCTGAAGGTCATACTGGTCTACGCACCAACTTCGGCACATCCCGATGAGGAGGTGGAGGAAATGTATGAGGATATTTTTAGAGCCATGCATTCCTCCAAAACCCACTACACGGTGTTGATGGGAGACTTCAACGCAAAACTAGGCACAAGAGAAGGCGGTGAGCTGAAGTTAGGGAAATTTGGAGTAGGGCAACGGAACCGTAGGGGCCAGAAGCTGGCTGACTTTATGGAGAAAGAGGGACTCTTTATGATGAACTCTTTCTTCCAGAAGCGACCCCACAGGAAGTGGACCTGGTCGAGCTCCGACGGTTCGACAAAAAATGAGATTGACTACATTATGACGACCAGACGCCAACTGTTCAGTGATGTCTCAGTGATCGCAAGGGTGAAAACCGGCAGCGATCACCGAATGGTTAGAAGGTACACTGAACCTTAACGTTAAGTTGGAGAGGTCTCGTCTAATGAAGTCAACGCTCCGTCCCCCTCGTGCTCTGATCCAGAATCCCGAGACTTTTCAGCTCGAGTTACGTAACCGCTTTCAGTGCCTAGAAGATTGCAATGCAGTGGACGATATGAATGACAAGCACGTGGAAACTGTCCATGCGGTTGGAGCTAAGTTCTGAAAGACCCGCCGCAGAAGAACACAAAAACTCTCCGATCGCACTCTTAATCTCATGGCTGTTAGAGGGGAGATGAGGCTGCAATCGTCAACAGATTTGACAGCATACAGGCAACTGAACAGACAGATCTCCAAATGCATGCGGCGAGACTTACGCAACTTTAATACTGCTCGTATTAAAGAAGCGATCGAGCGGAACCAGGGCTCCAAAGTCTTTGCCAGAGATCTGTCTGCCAGAAAGAGCCAACTGTCAAAGCTGAAGACTGAGTGTGGCAGCATCGTTTCCGAGACACCTGAGATTTTGAGTGAGATTGAGAGGTTCTATGGGCAACTGTACACATCATCGTTGGAGCCACACGCAAGTGTGAGTAACGATCCAAGAGCAAGTCTTACACGACACTATTCCGATGAGATCCCGGACGTCAGCCTGAGCGAGATTATAATGGCTCTCCAGCACCTTAAAAACGCCAGGGCCCCAGGCGAGGATGAAATTACAGCGGAGCTTCTGAAAGCGGGTGGAACACCGGTACTTGAAGTCCTTCAGAAGCTCTTCAATTCCGTCCTCCATTGTGGCACTACTCCGGAGGCGTGGAGCAGAAGTGCGGTGGTCTTGTTCTTTACAACGCTCTATTGAAGAACTACAGACCGATTTCCCTTCTGAGCCGCGTCTACGTGCTGTTTTCGAGAGTCATTACGAATCGTCTCGCACGCAGTCTCGACGACTTCCAGCCTCCTGAACAAGCCGGTTTCCAAAAAGTCTTCAGTTCCATAGACCACATACATACCCTGCGGCAGATTGTACAGAAGACCGAAGAGTACAATCTGCCACTTTGCCTGGCGTATGTGGACTATGAGAAAGCCTTTGATTCCGTCGAAATTTGGGCGGTGCTACAGTCCCTTCAGCGGTGTCAAGTTGACTGTCGGTATATCGAAGTGCTGAAGTGTTTGTACAGTAGGGCTACGATGGCTATCCGAGTACAGAACCAGAGTTCGAAACCTATCCAACCACAGAGAGGTGTATGACAGGGTGACGTTATATCCCCGAAACTCTTCACCGCTGCGTTGGAAGACGTTTTCAAGCTACTGGACTGGAAAGGATACGGTATTAACATCAATGGCGAGTACATCACTCACCTTCGATTTGCCGACGATATAGTCCTTATGGCAGAATCGCTGGAGAACCTTAGCACTATGCTCAATGACCTCAATGGTGTCTCCCAACGGATAGGTCTTAAGATGAACATGGACAAAACAAAGATCATGTTTAATGTCCATGTCACACCTATGCCGGTAGTTGTTGGGAGCACTATGCTCGAAGTTGTTGACGAGTACCTTTACCTGGGACAAATAGTCCGACTAGGTAAGTCCAACTTCGACCGAGAGGTCAATCGACAGATTCAACTCGGCTGGGCAGCGTTCGGGAAATTACGACACATCTTCTCGTCAGGTATACCTCAATCTCTGAAAACTAAAGTGTACAACCAGTGCGTGTTGCCAGTGATGACTTACGGATAAGAGACGTGGTCCTTCACTGCTGGCCGTATGAGGACGCTCAAGGTCGCTCAGCGAGCTATGGAGAGGGCTATGCTCGGAGTTTCTCTACGTGATAGACTTAGAAATGAGGATATCCGCAGTAAAACTAGAGTGACCGACATAGCCCAACGGATTAGTAAGCTGAAGTGGCAATGGGCCGGCCATATTGATCGAAGAACCGATAACCGATGGGGAAGAAAGGTTCTCGAGTGGCAGCCTCGTACCGGTAGGCGTAGTGTAGGGCGACCCCCCACTAGATGGAGTGACGACCTGGTAAGACATGCAGGAAGTCGATGGATGCAGGTGGCTTAGGACCGTGCTTTGTGGCATTGCTTGGGGGAGGCCTATGTTCAGCAGTGGACTTGTGAAGGGCTGTAATGATGATGATGATGATGATGCAGGTTCGCTGCGATATTTTCTTTCACCTTTAAGCACTAAGGCCCAATTAAATTGTTGACTACTAATTTAATGTGCTAATTTGAAGAAGAAGAATCTGGCGGGGATCCCCCGGAAATCAACAGCGGGAGCTTAGTTCCTGATCCACCATGTCTCACAAGAATAGTTGATAATGTTTAAGAAATTAAAGCAAGTCAACAATATACAAAAAAGAATAACGATTATTAACTGGTTGAAGAGTTAAATATGTAGAGAATAAAAATAAACTTTGATATTTCTCGATTCCTTCATGGATATTATTTGAATGAGTAACCGAATAACTGCGATTTTCCTAATTATTTTAATTGATATCATAAGTTAAAAATTTAGCTAAAAATAAATAACTTTATTATATTAAAAGATAACTTACGGCTTTAAAGGCAACTTCTGTGCTAGTAAAACTGCCGTGACGGCGTTAGAGTGATGTTTTGTTAATGACGTCAGCGGCAACATCAACTTCGACCGGGCCTCCTCACTGACTTCATCCATGGTTGTTAACATCACCTCCACTATTCTCTCAATATTTTGATATAAATCCTGGCCTTTTTTTACGAACAAAGCGTTCAGTACCGCACTTATGCCAATACTTCTATACTCCTGAGAGTCGTAGCCTTCTAACAAGCTCTCAACAAACTGCATTGTGTAGTGATGGGGAATTTTAGGGGATATGGTGTCACACAAAATCATGCAGTAATCATAGATCATGTTAAGGTCATTTGTCAGTATATTGTTTTGCAGGTGAGCCAGACTGGCCATGCATTCATCATCCGCTTCAATGATGTGGCCTTCGTACAGGTCTTGTATCTGAATTATCAGTTTAATACAGTCCACTGTAGTCAGTCTGACTGGGAAGTTAGTGTCAGCTACTCCTGGGACTAGAAGCCCAAGCAAGTAGCCCAACTGACCAAACTTACTGGGCGTTTCGTAGTTAAGCTTCACATTTTTAATGTACGAGTCAAAAACCACTTGGAGAATTTGCATCGCCGCTGTTCGAATTTCATCATTCTCGTTACGTATCCATTCTATTAAGAGACCAACTAGATCGTCTATTGTGCTCAAGCAAGTCGATTGTATTATTAGTTCCCGTATCAAATGATGAAGCAGAGTTAATGAGTCGTTTAAAGTTTTCGCTAACAAGTCGTTTTTCTCTCCGTTTCCTTCCAATTCGTATTTACTCTTGAAAGACGCTAACTCTCCAAAGATACTGTTAAATAAATTTCGAAGGATGGTATTCCTTTCTTCCGGCAATATTCCTTTTTGAAGCTTCGTTAAAGCTTTCGATGCTTTCACAATAATAGGATATAATTCTACATTACGTTCGTCCAGATTAGAGTTGTAAATTTGTGACAGCACAGCATTTAATAGCTGCCAGCGATTTCGAAGTGTAACGTTATGATGTGAAGCAGGGTACAGTGCTTTACTAATCTCGTAAAGAGCCGTAATGCTTGCTTTGCACAAATCAAAGGGAGGGTTATGCTTTAGGGTTTCGTGGAGTATTGAAGTAATATTGTCACCGAGTCGTGCTAACACATGTACGTCGAGGCACTCGCTAGCTATTTTACCATAGGAACATATAGCTGCATATTTCACAAGGCCTATTTCTATTTCGCTTTTAGAATGTTTTGAAGATAAGAAGTTAAAAAATTTATTACCCCTTTTAGCTTCGTTTTCTTTATATATCGCGTCAAGTTCATTCATAACAACTTCGCCATGTTGTCTGGAAGCAATTCCTATTGCTTTACTAACGTATTCACAACTTTCCATTGGAATGGATTTTAAAGCAAATAATATTATTTTTAATACTTTCTCCACGACCGCGGCGTTAGTCATATGACAAGATAAAATTGCCAAGTACTGTAATGATACTCCTTTTATCATTGGTGACTGTTTCTTCGACAAGACTTGCTGGGACAGTAGTGTTGCTATCGTTTCGACCCATTTATTACTATTTACCTGCTCAACAGCAGCCACCAATAGATCCAATAACATCCCATGCCATTGATCTTTTGACTCATTCTTTTCGACAAACTTTAATAATCTTTGAATTTCAACCGTCCATGAATTCTTTAAATTCTTATGAATATCCCCCGAGTATTCCTCTAGGAATATTAATAAGTTTTTGTTTTTTTCCTTCTCACTTGGATCAACGATATGTGTTATGCATCTAATAAAAACTAAATCAGGACTGCAATTATCTTCCACTGATTTTTCTGTTTGTTCATCAACGATAATGTCTGAATTATTCTGCAACAACGAAGTCAAACAATGGCTTACAGTAGACATAGAGGCTGTTAAGTCATCGATGGTTAACGCTGTAAGTAAAAGATTTCTCAATTGCGATCTCACACTTGTCACTGTATTGCACATAAGTATTAATGAACTTCTGCAAGTATCATGTAAATCTACAATTTCATATTTTGGAATATTAGCTGGCCCTTCGTAGCCGCAGTGTTTGATTATGAACTCGATCATAGCGAAATCTTCAGAAGTTGTAATGCAATTTCTATACACCAATCCCACGATTGCTTTTACAAGTAATTTCTTCATTTTGACGCTTTGCTCCATAACTGTCATCACTTTTAGAATAGCTATAAATTTTCCAGCGAAGCTCTCAATAAAGACATGTGACGATGTTGTCAGATGAGTTAGTATTATTACCGCTTTCATTCTGTCTTTCTCGTGATTATTTTTACACTGATGCAGCAGACTCTCAATAGTTTGGTCAGGGAACTGCCCAGCCATATGATCAAAACATCTAAGAACTTCGAAATGGTTTTTTACCGTATGCGGCTGATCATAATCCGGCTCAAAAAGGACCAAATTGAACATAGTGTTGTTGATGGAATTTATAACACTATCGTTTAAAACTAATTTAGGATTTAAAGATGACGGTGACAGAAGATAGGAAATGCATTGACTTATGTAATAGGAGTTTATAGTCGACTTTCGATACAAAGACAGCAATGAAAGTACGAATTTATTGACGGTTTCGTTAAACTGCCTTTCTGATATTAGCCTTGTAATTGGCCCAAGTGCTTCTAAGACTGATTCTGATACTTTGTGTTCGTGAGATGGGAGCCACTGATTGTACAGTACATCGAATATTATGGAGAATTCCGTAACAAAATTTTCTTTTATGTTCGTTATGTTGTCGTTCTCTACATTGTCACCAATTTGTTCCGCAACGGCAACTGCAAAGTGTCCGAATGCTGTAAAGGAAAGTATAATAAATATAATAACATTTTTATGGTAGTTACTATAAAATACGAGAGGAGTGCAATAATAATTATTCAATAATATTTCTAAATACAATATGTAACTTGTAAGTACCGTAAGCGAAAGCTTGTTTGACGCCATCTTGTTTTACAAGCGTCAGCAATGGAAGCATTTTGCTCAGAATCTCCTTAATATGCGGCACCACGCCCTGAGTATTCACCGCAGCAAGGGTACCCAAAGTATGAATGATAGTGTAATGCGGCACAGACGCTGGAGATAGCTGGTTAATGAGTAGTCTGAGAACCTAAAAAAATTTGATATTTTATTTTACTTATCTGGCAACCAAAACATTATTAATATAAATTTTATCAATAGCTTCGCGCGATCAAGAATCCTCGTTTTACAGAGACCTGGCGCTCGTTTCAAAGTCACATAAAAAGTAAAAACTACTTCAAGTGAATATTCGTCAGCTAGAGATATTGTTAATTTAAATTACTTCTTGAATATAAGTGAAGAAAAAAATGTATATCTCGTTTAATAACAGACGAAATTAAAAAAAAAAACATAATTGGAGCGTTGACAACATGCACGGCACACAAGATTAAATATTGTATGCCATTTGGCACAAAAAGAAATTCTTTTCAGAGGTCACGCGGAGTCCGTTGTTTTTTTAAAATAAAGGTAATTTATTGCTAAAATAAAACAACGAGACCCAATTAATTTTGTAAAATAAATCTGAAATCATTGTTTCCATTACCGATAAAGCTCAAATCATTGTTGATAAAGCTCCCGATATTAATAACAAAGAGCAATTACGTATAATCCAAAAACATGACATTCATGGTCATTAATTCTTGAGGTTTATTAATACGTCTGTAAGTAACATATCAGAAACATTATCTTATATCATAAAGAAAGTGTATGTCATAGCTCATATCTAACATAACATTCTATGTCACTGTAACATTACTCCCACGATATAATTTGTAAATATATAAATATTAAGCAGTTTGAAAAATCTACGCAATACGGAGTGCCTACCTATAACGTATGGATGTTGACTTATTTATTGACTAGACTACTATACCCAGGATTAAGATTGAATGCCTCGTTACCACTCTTAAAGGATCATAAAAGATCTCTGGTTCTAGTTATGTAGGTGTCAACGGGCCCCAGCATCCACTTACCATCAAGTATATTGTGTGCTCTGTTATGACCTCCACTCGTCCTTCTTGCGTGTCTTCCTTACTTGTTTGAATAAACAATGATATTAAAAATTATGGAAGTAATTATAACGAAATATTCTTTGTTTAGTTGGAGCTAATATTTATAAATCTTTTATTTAGAAGATAATATGATGACTTTCTTTATTTATGCGAATACCTACTACAAATTAATAATATTTATTATATTTTTTGCGGATTTCATCGTGTTTTTTAACTTATATAATTTTACGATTCTTATGATTCAACATTCACGTAAATATATATAAGTATTATATAAGTAGTTTAACAGCCTGATATCACTCCAGGACAGGTACTAAAAGATCATAAAATATCAATGAACATTATAGTAGTGTCGTAAACAAATTATTTAATCAACGGCAAAATTGAGGGCGTTGTTGACAACGAAAAGTCAATGTTCCGCCATCTTGTTTTAAGAATTTTCATTAGAAGCCTCTCGTGACTTTTACTGGTCGAGACTGCAATCATACTACGGAAAACAAAACCTATTAACGTGCGTCTTATCTCATCACACCTTAACACATGCCATAGTGCGCCAGCTCTTTGATACCTAGGGGTAAAAAGATAACACAATAAATAATATTGTATTCATATGGCAAAACACGAAAACAATATATTTTATATTAATGCGTTGAATCATACAGTCTGTTTTGAATCCGGGAATGTAAACATACTTTATCTTAGTCTGTACTCACAGAATACATATCATGTATGCTTAAATACATGTTTGTTGTCCTGTGTGTATACTGTGTTCAAAAATGAACAGAAGTGAGTCATATCTTACATTTCATGTTGAAACTAGACAAGTGTGATAACTAAATTAACAAAGTGGTAAATTTATGAAATGGACTTGTTCTTGGGTTCATGTTAAATCGAAATTTTAACTAGCAGGAAGCTTCGCGTATTCAAATTTTTGAATTTTAAATCCTTTTGATATTCAAGCATGTAAAACTAGTTTATAAAATGGTAATCTAATTTCCTTTAAGTTATATTAATGGGGTCTAATATTAAAAACCCGTCAAATAAACTCGAACATCGTAGTTAAAGTAGTGGCAAGAGTTTGAAAATTTCAAATTTAATAGAAAATGGTTATAATAGTCTGTAAATAAATATTATTTTGGTACATTCTCCTTACAACGGCTTCTAATCTAGTGACTAACGATTGCCATACCTTTACTACTGAATCCGTATAGCTCAGCTAATCGTTATAAAACAAAAATTTGGGTCAGAACGTAATATCTATCATTTTGCCTCGCGTTACTACATTAACTACTCGTACTTTGATATAAAGAATGTTCTGAACAAAGTCCCTTTGTTGTTGCGCCAGTAGTTGTATCATCAGAATATAATATTACAAGATACATCCTTGTAGATATAAATGTCTATTGTAAATGAGAAAATCCCAGTTAAATATTAAGTGGTGGCTTATGGACAAATCTGCAAACCAAAGTCATAAATACAAAGGCGGATAATAAAGGGGTTAAAATAGAGATGGTGTAACTTTTTACATTTAAAAACCATAATTTACAATTAGTACAACTTCTTTAAGCAAGACAGAAACTAGCTGAAGAAGACCTCAGGGAGGGTCAGCCAACCACTACGGAACATGTAGAAAAAATATTGAAAGATAATCCATTAAAAAGAAACAACAAACAGAAATTCAGACACAACCATTAAGAATATTCTGCTGCGTGTTCGTCTTAAGCGGGGAATTCACTAGACGGACTTGCCCACGGGCACGTCTGCAGACACGCCCGCCGGCCTTCGCTACTATAGCTCTGTGCAAAGTTTGACAGTGCAGGAGCGTCGCAGTCGGTCCGGCAGACTGGCCTGCTGAACGTCCGCGCGATCTCATCGTGTCTGCGCGGGCACTGACATGCCCGACGTGACTGCTTACTACGGGCAGTCTGTTCACACACACACAAGAGCGACAGCAACCAGGGGTGCAGACCGCCTTTTATTATTATTTAACGAACTTTGGAGGTTTTTAATTTGCAATGAGTTTTAATGATAATAAAATATTCTGGGAAGAGTTTATACGACAGGTACAGGTCTTCTGGTTCATCAACTTCTACTTATTTTTGTAAATGAATATGGCTAAACTCATTTCTATTTTTATACCAGTCTTTGCATCAAATTAATAATAAATAAATAATAAGCATTGCAAATCTAGGTTATCATCTTAATGTGCACGAACAACTAATCACATAGCCGGTCTAAAACAAACTGACGCTGACGAGTCTGTGTAGTGTATTGCGGCGACAGATATGTGGGGACGCACAGCCCGCAGACATGCCCGTCTAGTGAATTCCCCACTTTAGTGCGTCTCAGTGAACTGTGCAGAATAGGGTATTACAACCATTTTCAAATAGTGTATTAAATGAATTCTTGATGTGATAATGAACCACTATAATTTTTATATATTATTTTTATTTTTGCAAAAGAATAAGAAATTTTAGGATATTTAATAATGAGTTATTATATTCTCCTCTCCTCGGACGTCAACAAGTCGTGTGGGCCTGATGGCGTCCCTCCTATTGTGTTGAAGGCGTGTGCTCCGGAGTTGGCACCGGTTTTAACGCGTCATTTCCAGTACGCCTACTCCCTAGGCGTAGTCACGAAATCATGGAAGACAGCCTTCGTGCATCCGATCCCTAAAAAAGGGAACAGCTCTGATCCGTCCGGCCTATCGCCATCACCTCCCTGTTCTCTAAAATAATGGAATCCATTATTAACAGCCAGCTTATGCGGTACCTTGAGATCCTCAACCAGCTGATTAGTGACCGCCAGTACGGTTTCCGTCGCGGTCCTTTGCCTGGTGATCTTCTGGGGTTACCTAACTCATACATGGGCGGAGGCAGTAGAGTAAAAGGTAGAGTAGGGCCATCGATCGGGTTTGGCACAAAGCGCTTCTTACGAAACTTTCTACCTATGGGCTTCCCGAAAAATTATGCAATTGGATCATCAGTTTTCTTGCAGATCGGAGGATCAAGGTCATAGTAGACGGTGCATGCTCCGATTACAAGCCCATTAACGCTGGTGTTCCACATGGCTGCGTGCTATCACCAACGCTGTTTCTTCTGCATACCAATGAGATGTTGCAAACCGGTAACATTCATTGCTATGTAGACGACATCACTGCTCATGCTTAATACACCCGCCGTGCCAATATTTCTCGGGAAGACTTCGCCGAGTACCGGGACAAACTTGTGTCTGAAGTCGAGACTTTGTTATTACAAAGTCACGGAATGGGGGCACTAAATCTAGTCCAGTTTAATCTCCAGAAGGCACAAGTTTGCGCGTTTACCGCTAAAAAGAACCCCTTCGTCGTATCTCCTCAGTTTCAAGGCACTCCCCTTGTTGTCTCAGCCAGTATCGGTATCCTCGGCGTCGACATATTAGTGACGTGCAGTTTCGTGGTCACTTGGAAGAGAAGGCCAAATTAGCCTCTAAAAAGCTTGGCGTACTCAGCAGAGCGGGACAGTATTTCATGCCGGCTTACCGCTCGGTTCGGTCGCACATGGAATACTCGAATCGTCGGCGATGGAGCTCTTTCCGATCGGCTTGACTCACTGGCACTGCGAAGAAATGTTGCATCTCTTTACGTATTTTATCGCATCTAGCATGGGGGGTGCTCTGGGGAATTGTTTGGACTAATTCCAGCCGCAAAATTTCACTATCACACATCGCGACAAAACTCGAGATCCATACCGTCTGGATGACTGGCGGTCCACCACCGTGCGATTTAAAAGAAGTTTTCTTACTCGCACAACTTCCTTGTGGAATCAACTACCACCACAGATTTTTCCGGACCGATATGACTTAGAGCAGTGGCGAAGCTTCCATAAAGCCGAAAAGCCGGGCCTAAAAAAAAAAAAAAAAACCTCCGACCGATGACCCCGTATTGGCTTAGCGATACTGCTGCTGTCATAAAAAATGAGTTTTAATAGAGCTAATAGTTGTCTCTCTCGCTCGCGTGGGCTTTTTACGGGGCTTTCGAGAAGACGATCGCTCTCTTTCTAACCTATGGCAAAATATTCTATAATGAAATATAACTACGTATAGCAATTAGTATAGAGATTTAAAGCCAGGCTTTTGGGAATAAATTTGTTAAAAGCGGAGGCGCGCGGGCAATACGTTTGCAAGTTCATTTCACGTTACAATGTTTATTTACTCTGTGTGCGACTTAATATTACGAGTTCAAAATGTATGCTTTTTTAAAGATTTTTAATGAAAATGGAGGATAATAGTGTTCCTTGTGATGAATTGAAGTGTGTTAAAGTGATAACTGGAGAGGAAATCTTTAAACTTTGTTGTATTATACACAAGGTTAAGAGTGTATTTCAGACTTTTATTAAAAACAGTTATTGGTACAATTAAAACGTTCACCAACATTTTACGTGGACGTAATTAAATCTTTCCATAAGAAAGCGAGACGATTCCACTTATCTTATCTTATCTCTTTTCCATTAGAATGTAAATAATTTTTTTTTTAATTTTGTACATAGTTTGTTTGTACTTTGTTCGTGTTTTACTTTTGTTCATGTATTGTATTGGATGTAAATATTTTTTTTCTTTCGCTTAAACAAACCCAAACGGCTTTCTTCAAAGCCACCGAAGCTATGCAATTGCTGATATGTAATACAATCTATCTAGCAGTGGTATGCCTTCTGTGTGCTTTGTTAAACACGTCCTTGACAGCACTGAATATGAAACTGAAGCGTGGAGACAGATCAAGATTGGTGTATTTTTTATAAAACTGCTAAAAACAACAATCTATATTTTTATCAATTTATATCTTAGGCTTGCCTTAGCTTGGAGCTCTAGCTTCGCCACTGACTTAGAGACCTTCATGAAAAGAGCCTACTCCTTTTTACAAGACCGGCAACGCATCTGCAATTTCCCTGGTGTTGCAGTTGTTCATAATCATCAGGTGAACCATATGCTCATTTGTCTCTCGTATAAAAAAGAAGATGAAATTTGTCCGATCATCAGAGCTTAGGTGTGGAGGTAATTTACCTAAACACTAGCATAGCACCTGAATTCATTGAATATCTGGACGTAATCAGTGTCACGTGTCACGTGGCCGCTTCTCGAGAACCTTTCTTCCCCATCATTTATTGGTTCCAACTTTTATTAATTCCGATTGCCAATTCAGCTTCCTGATCCGCTGGGCTATGTCAGTTACTCTCGCTCTTTTGTGGATATCTTCACTGACGATTTTATCCCACTGAGAAATTCTGTGTATAGCCCTTTTCATTGCATGCTGACTTTGAGCTTCCACATGCATAGCGAGCAGTGAAGAACAATGTTTCAGTTCCTTAAGTCATCACTGATATCCCACTTTCAAAGTTTTTTTAAAAAGCAAGTACATACCAAATCCAAGTATTCATGACTGACAGCAACCAAAACAGATGAAGCACCCATCTGTACTACAGGCTCATAAGATGTGTTCTCTGTCATAGCACGAAGCATAGAGTTCACTAGGTCTGAAGCTGCTTGTGAATTCAGTTTTTTCACATGATTCACACATGTTTGTTCTAAGACCCTGCAAATTTAATCATGGATTAATTTAATTTACAAAATTTGTTAGAATATTGTTTGTTTGCTATTTGCTATTTTATTACAGAGACTATTTTGATAACTACAAAAATAATGTTTATAAGCAAAAAGTGAACTTTATGGTGCTGGTTATATCAATCTTGAATGTATGTATGTAATGAGTTTTAGTTAATTTAGTACAGTCAATACATTTCAAAATAAACTATTGTCATTACTCAACATATTTACAATGTTTTAAATAAAATCGTACTGTCCACAACACACAGGTGACAAAAACAAATTTTTCACTGGCTCATGATTTTCCATTGGTGTTAGAAAAGGCTACATTTAAACAAAAACTTAGTGTTTTAATTAATTTTGTTTCCTGTACCTAATTATTTTGACTTTGCCATAAAATAGCAACACAAGAATTGTTATTTCAGTATAAGATGCATACAGTGTATTTTTTTATTTTATCTGCTATAAAGGGACAGGACTTTTTTGATAATTTTGTTGATACTAAAAAAAGGTTAAAAACAGGTGATTATGGAACATATAATTGTAATCTACATATAAATGTAGAAGGATTTGCTCTTCCTTACTTGTTACTAAGAGGAAGTCTACAGAATAGAGAAGATTAGTGTAGTGTTGGCGCTATGGAAAAGCCTTTACGGGGCAAAATCCTTTTACAATGATTTAAAAAATATATAAAAATAAAATATTAAGTACAGTCCACACAGATAAAGAATGGGATTAGAAATGGCGACTCATCGAACCCCTACTGTTAACATGCACAAGTATTAATAGTGAAAACCCGCAAATAACGGTATATCATTAAAACATCATATTATTTGGTAAACTAAAATTTTGCTATTAATGGTAAAATATTTGAAAATAATTGTGTACCCTAGTAGGTACATTAACATTAAAATAACATTTATAACTAGCGACCCACCTTGCTTCTTTCTTGCTCTGGGTGGTATCTTTAATGTGGCATTATTTAGACATAAGATAACCATTAAATACCATTTATTTTATTTAATCAATATTTCCATTTTAATAAAATCTCAAATTTTTCGGATAAAATTTAGTCTAGATCCACTTCTGGTATTACTCTCTATTTGTTCGTAAAGTTTTATTAGTATTGGTTCAACCATTCTAAAGATTAGCTTGGACATACAGACAAATCAAAATTTCAAAAATGGTTACTCAATCACATGACTCACTCAATGACACGTAAATTTGTTGTGCAAAAAACTAATAAACAAAATCAACAATAATTTTGAAGAAAACCCTCAAAACATCTAGCTCACAAATTAGCAAAACTGGACTGATTTTTTTGCAGTTTAAGGTATTTTGTTATCATTGATTCCAATGACAAATTGGATTGAAGTTATAAAATGTACAAAAAACGCATCTTGCAATATATTATTTTTTTATAGTCTTTACTGGTGGGTGTGAGTATAGATGGCGACAGTGTGTGAGCCAGAGGTGAACAGAGGCCATTTTCAATCCCATTCATTAACCACACGGGTAGTAATACTGAAATTGATATGATACAAAACCATATAGTTTAATAATAAATATCAAAAAAGCTTTCTGACGTATCTAATCCTAATAAAAATAGTTTGAAAACTTACATAAATCTTTGTTCATCCGCAAAACTATAATATGTAATAAAGGTAAACTATTTTAAGTAGTTGCAATATCATCACATACACATATCATACTAATAGTGAAAAACATATATATTTATAGATAAAAGAGCTCACTTTTGAGAGTTTTAGGGCAAGGAAGCGTTTGCCACTCCACTCCAATGCGTGTTGGCCGATTTCACATGTCTTCAAAACATTTTTAATCCTCTCAGAAGTGAGAGGAGGCCTATGCCCAGCAGCAGGACTTACGTATAAAGGATGTAACTTTAAATTTTTATCTAAGATTGAGCTCAGCATTACTTCTTATCATGTAGAAGTGTTATTGGTTTAGATTTTTATAAGTATAAATAAAATTGATTTGTCTGTCTGCATTATTGATATAGCTGACTCTATTAAGCTCATGGGGTTATTTGCATGCTTTTAAGACATGAATAACCATTGTTAGTTTTTGTCTCTCTGTTTGTCTGACTTTGCGTTTGCCTTGGCTAATATTCCAAATGGCTGAACCGATTGTGATGAAACTTCACAAATGGATAGAGAGCAGGTCTCACAAGTTTTTGTGACTTTACTTGAGGTAGGCCTATGTGCAGCAGTAGTTCTGTGATGAGCTGTAACGGTGACGATGATACAAAGCATGATCTTATGTAAGTGGTGGCATGTATTTTTCATGGAATAGAGGATGACAAACAAGCACATAATCTATGACATTGTAAGTGGATGCTGTTGCTCGTAGACACCCATATCAATCCTGAATTAAGAATCAAAATGCAGATGTGTTATTACCTACAAAGACCAAATGTTTTTTTTTTTACTATTAAAAAGGATCTCCAGTTGTGGTTACTTACTAACTGAAAGACAACAGCATTATTATTATATTTTTGGGAACCCTATTACGCAACATCAAGTTATACAACAGGATCTAAATGCCATCTACGATTGGACTAGTGATTGGCTCCTAACACTGAACGCAGACAAGTGTACGGTTCTACATATAGGGAAAAATAATCCACGAAATACATATTATCTAGGTGATCACCCATTGTCTTCTGTTGAATCACAGAAAGACCTTGGTATTACAATAACCAGTGACCTCAAATGGGAAACTCATATCCTTAACATAGTAAAAAAGGCAAACTCCATGATGTATATGATTCGAAGAAGCTTTATGTGTCTCACTCCTAAAATATTTAACAAGATCTACCAAACATACTTAAGACCTCTTTTGGAGTTTGCATATGTGATATGGGACCCGTATTTTCGTAAAGATATATTAATACTGGAAAATGTTCAAAGGAGGGCCACAAAAATGGTAAAACAACTGCGGAACATGATATATGAGCAGCGAATGAGAAAGCTTAACCTCACAACACTAGAGAGCTATAGGTAGAGAGGTAGTCTGACTGAAACATACAAAATACTGACAGGTTATTACAATGTTCCTACTCTGCCAAATTTGTACTTACTAATAGCAACAAACGTCTGAGAGGAACATCAATTTAAACTTTGCCCGAGGACTGCCAAGCGGAATCCTATGAAGAATTTTATACCAAATCGTGTTGTCACCAAGTGGAATAATATAACACAAAATGTGATTGATGCTCCTACATTGAATGCCTTCAAAAACAGATTGGATAAAATCTCCAAACACTAAGACACACACGCATCAGCTTTTTTAGCTGCTAGTGTTTATGTATAAATAAATAATGATAATCCTGCTTCTTCACACTGGTATTATATGCAAGCGTAATCTCTCCCCGGTCTAGACTACCTATTTCTGCTGCAGCTAAAATATGCTGCAACATGGCTCTACAACTTGAAAACTGACATTACGAGAAAAATTATACTGTATGTTTCCACCTTAAGTTCTTAGAAAGGATGCTTAACTACTTACTTCACAATATTACTCAGCTGCGCATTGTTCACTTTGACGGTATTTTTATAAAAGTCGCAAAATATATCTATTACTTCATTTGGATACGTGTTTGCTATCTTCGTTAAAGATTTTATTACAACATTATTAACGGAATTGTCATTATCTCCGATAGCATTTATTAACACTGTCACAGTATCTACAAATCAAGATGTTTTTCTTCATATAAATGTTACAAAAATTTACATACAAAAATAAATGCCTTTTTTAAATTACCTCTTAAACACTCTGACTTTGTTAACGTCATTTTATTACTCTCCTGTATATGTTTTAACACAATATATTTTTTATATTCATAGTAAAGTTTAAATAGACTTTTCAAATTAGAAAACCCTAAACACCACAAAACACCATCACATTTGACAGGATAGACAAAAAGAAATGGAACAGATTACTGAATGTATATGTACTAGAGAAAATGGAAAGTCAACGTCAAACTGTCAGTGTCATTTCAAACTCACAGTAGAGATGTGAGCAAAATATTTTCTATAGGTACAGGGACCCGAATATTTGGAGATGATACGTCTGTTATCCTATTATTAGAAAAACCATAGTCAAAAATGATTCAGATGAAATGATGACGACGACGTCGAGGTACAGCCCGCAACTCTTCATCACACGTACACAGACACCGCCCCTCCGTGCATAATAAGCATTTTCCCTCAATTATCCTAAATTTGTATATGTATACTAAGATGTTTTTATCCTCTTTTATTACGTCTTTGCATGTATGATGAAAAATTTATTGATTCTTTCGTTTTTCTTATAGAAATGGGTGACTTTGTCCTTGATAAAGTCCACCTGATGGTAAATCAAAAAAAATACGACACATTTTTACGCAAACAAAATATGAATCTTATATATAAATTTTGAATTCGCTCAAGTTTATCAAATTGCATTTCACTAAAAATAAATAGCTGATATCTGCATAATCGAAGATTGGAGGAAAAGAGTTTGTGCGTAAAACAGGTAAAAAATTTCGTAATCTTTTGATTATTATCACCCATAAATTCTTTAATATTCACAATAACCTTTTATAAACAAACTTACTTTAATAAAGTTTTTGAACTTTGAGCAGCATAAGAGATCCCATTATATTTTCTAGGATTTTGTTGCAAAAGCATATACTTTGCCTCAAGAATGAATTACTGACTCAGTGGAGTCGAGTAACTGGTGCTACTAGCTTGTGTCTGTTCCAATATTCCTAGTATTTACAGAATGAATATCACTTATTTTTCAAAAGCTGTTTTTATTTTAGTGTACGTATATTTTGCAATACAGACAACTTTACGTTACATACATTTACATACCTAGGTATCATAAATAAAATAATATAATTATTATTAACTTAAATACAATCCAAATCGCGTTCATAAATCTGTGTCATTTATATCAAATGCCAATTTATCAGCAAAGAAACAAGTCAGGAGAGCGAGATATTTTGTTACAATCGATTTTAATTTTTCGCTAATATTTTCGCTATCAGGTATTTATATTTTGTAGTTCTAGTTAGCTGTAATAGATACTCTTTGGTGTGGAACATTCTTATTAGAGAACATCTTATAAAATGTAGTTATTGTCTTTGCTTACAATTAGGATTTAAGATTTAAGCATATATTACAAGCGCAAAAAAACCTAATATCTTCAAAAACCACTTTGAATAGGTAGTGTACTTAATAAAGAATCCATGGTATGGAGTGTAGAGGTAAGAATTGCATTTAAAATTGTCCGTAGAAAAGCGCTAAATAAGAATGGCGCCACTATAGCTACAGTATAAATTTTAAAGTACTTTTTATAATTTTTTTTACTGCACAAACTTTCACCATAATTCTTTTTATAAAAATTATTTTTTGTTTTCAAAATTTTTATTTTCAAAATCGCTCTCAACGTATTTTACCGCAATTTTTCATACCCGGTAGCTACTCGAGCGCTGTTGTGGAGAGCTTTTGAACTGTTATTTACTGCTTACAGATGGACGCATTTTCAACTATTCTCCTATAATAATCATATAAACGTAAGATCTATGGGAGATTCTCCTCCTTACCTCTATACTCCATGACTTCGAGGTTAAAACCGTGAGTTAAAACTGCAAATGAGAAGCAGACAGAATGCACTTATACAATAGAAATTAATCCAAAGAGTATATAATCACTACGTTTTTAAAGTAAATCTAAAGAAATTAGTAAAAGTAAATCTATAGTAATTGTATACTCTATCAGTAAATCTACGTCTACGTCTATTGTCTATGGGATTTCACTATACAGTACATACATATTTATTTATCTATGATACAGTACGAAACGAAGATTATGTGCGGAGTATACATACCTATGTATAAAAGTTAAAATTAATTTTCACGTTTTATGCTAATCGCGAATAAAGCAGACGTGCCGCTCCCTTCACCTAGTTGATTTTACTGAAATAAGAATTGTATGCTGTACCAGTGTACTCTTAATACCATACACAATTATTCCGACTAGAATCCTAACGACTTTCACCGGAAATATCAATAATTCGATTTGACGAGACAAGGGTTGTGGAATCATCCCGCATATCAGTGATTGATCTCACAATGTATTCGTGTGTCGTGTGCATGGTCAGTTACTGATATAACTGTGTTATGTACAGTGTGGCTCAGTTAAGTGACAAAGCAGAAGCGTCGGCTCCCACTCGAAACTATTATCCCGTTCGTGATTACGTTGGGCCGGGAACGAGCCACTTGGTTTAGTTGCTGCAGGGACTCCAAAGCGGTAAATACGGAGTCGCAAATCCCGCTTCGCATCATTTATCGTCAAGATTTTGGTTAGTATGCGCCTTAGGCTTCGTTTCATATTTCATTACCTATTCAGAATTCGGGCGTCGCTCGCCCGTTTCTGACATTGAAAAGTGCCCGATTAGCTGCCATATATTCTTAAAATAGATGTATAATATCGAGCCCCTTCTGGCAGCGACAACAATCAGCTGATCGGAACATTATAAAACAACAATAATCTCATTAATTTTTCCATTAATTTGAGACTTGATTAGTATATTCTAGTTTTAATTAAATTACTCGATTTATCAGTATTGCATCCGTAAATTAGTCTTAATACTGATTTCAGCCTTTATGAACTATCTTTTTTATTTCAGATCTAAAAATGGTGCAGCAAGATTTGACTTAGATGCACTGAACACAGATTTATGAACAGGTGATGGTCAGGAATGGCTCAGGGAGGCTCATTAGTTTGAGTTCTGTGGGAGCTAAGACACTCAGTGCATCTAGTGTAGTGTTGTGAAGTGTCTAGTCATTGTGTGTGTGAGTGAGTGTTTTCGGAACCGGAATGCCCTCCGCAATGTTGTCAGCTGTGCTTGAAGAGGAGCCAGATCTGTATGAGGCATTCCCTCCCCATGTTGACCCCACAGGCATTACTATCCTGACTGAAAGTCCACCAGGTAAAATTTTTAAATTATTTAAAATTTAAGTTGGAGATTGCCAAAAAATTTGCTATTTTTTAAAGATCAAACACAAACTGAACATACTGATTAATGAAACAATCTTACTGTTTATATAATCAAAGTGCCTATCTTATCTTTCTTTTATATTTTATATATTATGACCTTTGATATTGTGATTAGGTCACAATAATTCTACTGATTTCTGTAAAGTATTGGAACAAATAACTTTTATAATATTTTTGTTAGTATTTTTAATTGGTTCTTTGTTCTTGCTTTATGTAAAAAAAAAAAACTTTTATTTGTTTGATCTTCAGATAGTTTAATTTAAGAGAATATTTTGTTTGGTATTTGTATTAAATAACAATATAAAATAAGAAGTTCCAAAATTGTGATGTGGTAAAATTTTGTTTATGAAATATGTAATATAAGTTGATTAATATTTATATCTTGTCATTTAATTTTTTTTATTTGAAGTACATAATCTCATCAAATTCCAAAATATCCATATTTTGAAGGACTTGCAATCTCAGTATAGAATGTCTTGCATCTATGATACTGCTTTTTGTTTTCATTTTGGGTATTTTATGTCTGGCTTAAACAAGATTGATTATACCTATCGGAAATAGATAAATATATTTATCGGAAACCTTTCACTGGAAATGTATCTATAAAAAAAAATTTACCATTACCTATAGTCTTCCCTTATGACACTCATGGGTCAAAATGAGGTGGTAGTATCCTTTTGTTGATATCACTTGGCAGATTAAGTATTTAACAAATTACATTCAGCACTTGTATTTATCAATAAAAGGCTGTAAAAGTAGATAATATGAATCATAATTTAGTCTCTCATCTCAGAGGGCACAAGAAATGAAGAGTTGATAGTGTTGGCAGACCATTTTTAAATTGAGATTATAAGTAACTGACTAAGCAGTCCATGTAGTGGCAGTGTTAAATTATCCACTATTCCATGTGATACTGTGGGCATCGTTAGCAACAGAGAAAAGCAAACCAGGAAGATAGGCAGCAGCTTCTTCCTAGTGACAACTAACACATAAAAAACTGGTTGTCAATTCGCCTGACAAGTGGGGCAACTATGGCAAGTATCCACCTTATGAGACAGTCTAGTGGGGAAGCCTATTTTAAGTCGAATTTTTATAGGCTGTTTATTAACAGTAACGGTAAATGACTATTCCTTCATCCCACTATGTACTATGTACCTATGTTAAATCAAAATGATCATGACCATTATTCCAATCATGATTTAAATGTAATGTACCATATTGTTGTCAATTTAGGATTATAATAATTGTAATATTTTCTAATTATATGGCATAAGACGGGCTAATTTTTTAAACAATGTGTTAAACAGTTTTGTTAGGAATAAAGTGCAAGATGTAGTATATATATATATATATATAAAAAAAAATTATTGAACGTGTACTATTACAGTACACTATTTACATTTATTAAATAATTTCATTTATGTGTATGTATGTATAAAATAAGTGGATTTTAGAAATTTTTTAATCATTAGATCACTTTGGTCAGTTCACTGTTGTGTCGCGTTTTTTATTTACTTTTCTATTTTAGAATGTATTGACTATAATTCATGTGAGCTTAATTAGAGCTTCAACAACTAAAAGTTTCCTTTGTTTCTAACTATTCAATTCACATGACTTTGTTAATTTGTAAAACATGAATAAGTCATATTAACTCGTCAAGGATTGCTTTTTTTATTTTCTTTAATTATTATATTGGTTAGATATCAATTTTCTTAGTTATTTATTTAATACTGGCGACATTGATTTGGCTGTTGTGTGTAGTGTTTTGTTATTCTATAATTTATAAAAATTATGTTACTCAGGCATACTCACAATTGTTTTGGTTGGCAATCGAACTCGCGGCCCTCTGCGCCGCAGCCAAATCCACTGCGCTATTGATCCGTGAATAATGTTTATATGATTAAATCAAATACAATAATGTTTGCGTAATGTAAAATATTTCTGCACACATCGAACACTGAGCAGAAATGTAGTGCCCTATTGTCACCAAATCAAAAAAAAAAAACTTAAATCACTTCCACCAGCTCTATATTGCACTTATATATAATAAAAAAGAACACCGATAGCAAGAGGAGATTTCAAATTTCTATTACTCTCTTACTTTGAGATTTGATATTTATATATGAACTTTCATATTTATTTCGATTGTTATTAAAATAAGTTAGTTGAAAATAATTTCGCTTGGACGTCAGGGTTGGTATTTATGTGAACATGATATCTTTCGAAAATCTGAACTTATCACATTGATTTTTTTTTAAATTATCTTTGGCTTTTAATCCTTAGGAAGCCTTTTGAATTTCACTATTGTAAACGGTCCCGTTCATTAATATTTGACAATTTTTTTCGGTAACAAAACACGAATTACCGGTATCAAACAGTAAAAAAAAATTCGTTTTAATTACATAAACAGAAACAATTTTTTGTTGCTTTAAAAGAAATACGTGTATAGATTATTAATAAAAGTAAATTGATTATTCAAAACAGTACGTGAGTATTAGAGGTGTGCACTTTTGGATTTTCCAATTTTATTTACATTTTATTCTCCATATGAAATAAAACAGGACAAATCTCTATATATAGTAAACACAGTTCTTGTTTTAGATCAGCTTCGGTTCGGTAATAAAATGCAATAAATGTAAAACATTTATTACAAGTAATAACTCTGTAGTGCGTTCACGGCGCGGCGCCTTGCACGTTATCGCAGACACATATAATATATCATTTTTACATAAATGATTTACGCACAATCCTAGGCGAAAGTTATTCGCGTATTTCACATCCAGAAACATTTAAAATTTCTACAAGTAAACTGCGATGTAAACACATTTTTGCTAATACCGGTAACGTTTATATTTAAATAATTGGATATTAATGTAGTCAGAAGATATATTTTGCGAAGTATATTACGCCGTGTACTTTGTTAATTTAACAGGAATAGTGTAGACTTCAAGAAAGTGGTAGGTTGTATTATTAAATAATATAGTATGTATAATAATATACTGAAAATGAGGCATTCCATCTCAGTCCTCATGGGTGACAACGCATCTGCATTTTGATTTGTAACGGAAGATAGATGTAGATGTCTATGGGCCGCAGCAACCACTTACCATCAGGTGGACTGTGTGCTCGTTTGTCAGCCTATTCTATAAAAAAAAAAATAATACACTAGATATCGATAATAAGACTGAATATTTTTGATCTATGTTCAGCGTTAATGTTAATGCCGTTAATATTGTACGAAGTTGTCCGATTACAAAGATAATTCTTTTGTTCGTAAGGATAATGATGAGATGCATGAAAAAATCTTCAAACTCTTCAATTTGCAAAGACATCGAAATAATTAAGTATTTACCGAGTCAACCGATTTTGTTGATTATATTTTTTAGTTCTTTAATGTCGTTGTTTACATTTTTTTATCTATAATTATTCAATAGTATTAACATTACTAGTGTTTACGTTACCTATCGAAATTAAGGTTTTGAGCAAAATGCCGCGCTAGTCGTTATTTGTGAGGTTTTTAGGAGCTATCTACTTGTTATTGAAATATATATTAATTAATAAAAAATCTATTAAATTTCTACATAATTTTGATTCCATAATTGCCAAATGCATTTTTTTAAATGGAGTAAATACTTGATGAATCTCCCTACAACTAAACCACTGAAATGCGAAATATTCTCATAAAGTAAGCATTATTATATTTTGCGTTTGACAATAATGGATAGGCAATTTATTATTGAACATTTTGATCTATTTAATTTTTTTTAAGCACTAAAATTCGATTATATAAAGAAAATATTTAAAAATTTGGGCGTATTTCTTACGCGATATATTGTATAGCGAGAGAACGTGGAGTGTAGAAGCATAGTCGAAGCGAATGCTCAATGTAGTTCGCTAGGAGCAGCGCCTTAAGAGAAATCTTACTTTCGGTTTCGGCTTTCGATAAGATGGCGGTATAATCATCTTGTTTTTACATGATATAGAATACTCATACCGACAACGGAGAGCATTTCTTATGGTCGGTATACTGCGACCGCTGTTCCGTTGGCAAGTTATGCAATTACGGTAAAACTATGTGAGAGACCCATGCAGTAATACCTATCACGTGGAAGATGAAACCAACAACGTATGGTAGTTGGTAAATGAATGGCGGGTAATGTATATACAACCCTAAACCGTTAGGCTACTAACGTTTCGTATGAGTAACGTCGAAGAAAAAATCACCCAAGTTTTAATGTAGTAGATACTCGTAACACTGATGCAGTCTATTAAAATTTTTCATGTCGATTAAATGTAAATGAAACTGCTCTTCGGCTCGAGGAAATTTACGTCATCGCTTTTAGTTTATACGAGCCAACGGTGGTTTATCTATGCATATTAAATATATGATATATTTACATAATATGATGTATTTAATAGGTAAATATATTATACATATACGCATATTAAAAATACATTATACTAGTTTATAAAATATCTAGTAGTACTATTACACTAGGTTTAAAACATTCCAAAACTTTCCAAAGCCAGGTGTAGCTTCGAAAATTTGTTTAAAAGCTCTGAGTACCTACAATTTATGCATTTGGTAAGCGTCCTTAATAGACAAGGCTGCTTTAAAGCGCGTATCTGTTTTGGGATTCGGTAACTCTAAGATATAATGATTTCTTAAATTTACGCGAACACTACACATTGAATAAAACTATTATTTACGGATTTTATCGCGTTTAATTACTTTAATTTATTTTTATTATTATCCCGACGTTTCGGGTGCTTTACAGCACCCATGGTCACTGGGGGGACTGAGATGTTTGACGTCCCAATGTCATTGTTAGCCCGGCTACCTTCAGTTTTTGAATATTAATTTTTGGTCCGATTTACGCAAAACGAACTTACAGTATCTTGAAGTCTTGCAGTGGTATGCTAGGGTTTGGG